TTCTGGTGCTTAAGATTTAGGGCTTACCAGGAGGGGCCCCTACTTATAAGTGGGTTATTATAAGGGATCTAAATTGGGTTGTTTGGATCCTATATTAGGTTATAAGTCCCTTAACTACAGTTAGTATAGTAAGGGGGCCCCTCCTTGTAGAGTTTCGGGTTCAGGGTTTGGGCTTCAGGGTTTGTGGTTGAGTGGTTTTGAATCCAGCAGGACAATTCGACTGGCGAATGACATCCTCCATCAGGTGGGTGTGGGCAGCATCCGGGTTTAGGGTTTAGGGTTTAGGGTTTAGGGTTTAGGGTTTAGGGTTTAGGGTTTAGGGTTTAGGGTTTAGGGTTTTGGGCTGGAGTTGACCCGTGTCAAGGAGCCATCGACTGGGTTCTGGTTGTTTATTAGTTTCTTTTATTTGAAAATGGTATTTTGGTATGTGTGTTGTTAATCGCTTCCCCCATTTATTAAAGACCCCCCTAATACTAAAAACACTTTCCGGAAAAACCTCCCGAAACCGAGCCCGCCTTTTAAACCCTATTCCGAATTAGGGGGGGGGGGTTCAGGCCTCCAAGAAATCCTTCAACACCAATAAAACCCTGAGAGGGTTTAGGGTTGGGGGGTCTAGGGTTAATTAAGGGTTTAGGGCTTAGGATTAAGGGTTTAGGTTTAATTTAGAGGCCCGTCTTTTGGCAGCACGAAGCTGCATTTCGATAAAAACCCCCCCCCCTAATAATAAAAACACATTTCGAATTTCTATTGGGGGGGGGACCCCCCGTTTAATATTAGGGGGAAACGATTAAGAAGTTTTGGTCAAGTTACCAAAATGATTGTACATGTACGCTCCTGGGCGACCCTTTTCACGTGTGCAAGGTCTTTTGCAGCCCTGCCTAGAACCCTAAACCTTAACCCCTAAACCCTAAACCCTAAACCCTCATCCCTAAACCCTAAACCCTCTTCTTTTACTGTCTACCCGGCAAGGCACACGACTTATTAGAGGGGGAGGGGGGGGGGGAGAAATTCCAGGTCGTGGTGGTTAACCCCTAAACCTTAGGGTTTAGGGTTTAGGGTTTAGGGCTTAGGGTTTAGGGTTTAGGGTTTAGGGTCCAAGCCCTAAACCCTAAGCCCTAAACCCCAAGCCCTGAACCCTAAACCTTCAACCCTAAACCAAGCAGTGGTGGGATCTTAGGAGGTAATCATCCGCCAGGGAGAAAAAACTAATATTTTGTCACGATCACGCACTGCCAGAGCATTACTGTAGAAGGAACCCTTCACAGAAGCTAGTACTCCCGGGCTTTGAGTTTCTGCAAGATTCCTTGGCCAGGTGACCTGACCGGCGCGCGCTGGCGCAGCGCGCGTCGGTGTGAGAGCACTTCGTGCCCTGAGTCGCGCAAGAGCGTTCAGAGCCTGGGGAGCGACATACTTAAGGGAGAAGGAGTGGGATTCGAGTACAGTAATTGTTTCAGGTTCCGGGGTCTAAACCCTAAACCCTAAACCCTAAACTTCCCTAAGGGGTTGAGGGCAGCCTACAACGAGGAGGGTTTTTCGGACCCTCTTGCGGAAGCCTTGCCAGGATGGGTTTTTCGGCCGTCTTCTTCCAAAGTCAACCCTACAAAGGGCCTTTGAGGGAGTAATTGTAGGGTACCCCAAACCCTAAACCCTAAACCTAAACCCTAAACCCTAAAGACCTAAACCCTAAACCCCAAACCCTACAATAGACCATCCGGCTCTGCTCGGTACCACATTTGGTATTTATGTAGCTTCTCCCTTGGTGTAATTCTAGAGCCGTGACGTTGAGCAGAATTTGTGGCATCGTTGGAACATAAACCCTAGCAGTGGCTCTTTTGCTTCTGCAGTTTGTATGGTTTATCCCCACTAAATAAGGGGCAGTTACTACTAAACTGCAGGCAAATAGAGCCCCAGGTAAACCCTAAACCCTAAACCCTAAACCCTCAACCCTAAACCCTAAACCCTAAACCCTAAACCCTTCGTCTAGAGCTTACCGCACTCAGGGTCGGAACACGTGTACAGAAGTGTCGCGCCTCTCACTTCGCACAGTGCAGCTTCTGCTGCCGCTCGCAGAGTTTGAGCCAAGCGCGCGGAGCCCCTACGCAGTAAACCCCAGGCCCTAAACCCTAAACCCTAAACCCTAAACCCTATAACCCCTTTCAACCCTATAAACCCTATAAACCCTATAAACCCTATAAACCCTATAAACCCTATAAACCCTTAACCCTATAAACCCTAAACCGCCCTAAAGCCCCCGGCCTAATTAAACCCTTCATATGCCCTGAATCAGTCGACTTTGGGATGAGCTCCTCAGTTCTTGTGCCCCGGCGCTTGGGTATTCCCCTCTCTCTGCAGGATGCATGTAGCCATGCTATGGGAGAAGCTGGGGAGCCTCAAACCTACCCCTTCCAGCCTCGAAAATGCCCCTTCGGCTCAACCTAACCCTAAACCCTAAACCCTAAACCCAGTCCCCTAACCCCTTAACCCTAAACCCTAAACCGTAAACCCTAAACCCTAATTTACTAAACCCTAAACCCTTTGCGAGGCCCCCCCTTTCTCTCAACAATCGCGCATGGCCATCCGTGGGAGTCCAGGTACCCGATGCTTGTGGATTTAGGTTCCTTGGGGTTCATAGGGCTTAGTAAGTAGGGTTTATTAGGGTTTACTAGGGTTCAGTAGAGTTGTAGTAGGGTTTAGTAGGGTTCAGTAGTTAGTAGTGTTCAGTAGGGTTTAGTAGGGTTTGGTAGGGTTTAGTAGGGTTTAGTAGGGTTTAGTAGAGTTTAGTAGGGTTCAGTAGGGTTCAGTAGGGTTTAGTTGGGGTCAGTAGGGTTCAGTAGGGTTCCGTAGGGTTTAGTAGGGTTCAGGGTTTTGGGTTTTGGGTTTAGGGCTTAGGGCTTAGGGCTTAACCCCAAAACCCTACACCCTCAAACCCTGAACCCAACACCACAAATATGGGGTACCTGGACCCTCTGGAATCACACCAGGATGGGCTATGATACCTAGAATCCCTGAACAAAGGCCCTTTATAGGCGCGACAATGCTGGAACTCTCCCTCTACCTACAGTTTTATGGGTTATACCTCTAAGAATTAAGGCGGTAGCTACTACGAAACTGTAGGCAAATAGATTCCAAGGATGGGCTACTATGCCCGATAAATCCCAATTGACTTTTGGAATTCTAAGGCCGAATGGCCCATCCCCCACAATCCCTTAACTACTCTGTGCTTAAGTACCCCAAAAACGTGTAAAAGAGTACTCCCTATATTTCCCTTAGAATCAATAATGTGCTAATTTTATGGGGGTTCTTAAGCAAGTATTAGAAAAGGCCCTTTAAAGGGTTGACTTTGGGGTTACAAGGCCGAATAGCCCATCCTCGCAGAGCTCGCGAACCTTTTGCGGCGAGATGCCAAACCTTGCGAGCGTGAGCTGACAAAGCAGGGTTTAGGGTTTAGGGTTGAGGGTTTGGGGTTTTAGGGTGTTCGCAGAGGAGCTCACCGAAGTAGCACACGCAAGCCTGTGTCCCGAAATCCTAGATCAGGTTTAGGGTTTAGGGTTTAGGGCTTAGGGTTTAGGGTTTAGGATTAAAAAACCCTATAGAGGTCCTGGCGTTCAGGGCTTGGCAGGTGCAGGAGGGTTGCGTTTACAGGGCTTGCGGGTTTTGGGTGCTATCAGGGTTTTGAATTTATAGGTTTAGGGTTTAGGGTTTTTGGGCTTACAGGGCTTGTGGGGTGCACGGTATGGGGTGTATGGGGTTCGAAATGTTTCGGGCTTACGCGCTTCGGGTTTAGGGGGTTCTGAGGGTTTGGGGTTTGCAGGGCTTGTGGGGTTTATGGGTTTACAAGGTTTATGTTGTTGAAAGGGTTGATCGGGTTCAAAGGGCATGTAGGCTTTGGCTGGTTTATATTAAGAAGGAAATAGAGGGCTCACAGGGCTTTTAGGGTTTGGGCTGGGTAGGGGGGTTTGGGGGGTTGGAGCACGTGTCTCAACAAAATCCACAGTTCCATTTGCGGACTGGATTTTCGCAGTCGAGTGAGCTTTCACACCTTCGATGTTTTGTCCCTGTCACCGATTTTGACGTGTTGCTGTAGCTGCATATGGTCGGTGATGCGATCAACACAACAGGCAAAGTTGATGGTTGTTAGTTGGGATGTTCCCCCTTATACTAACCCTAAACCCTAAACCCTAAACCATAAACCCTAAACCCATTCCTTCATAGGTATTATATTCGGGGGTAATAGAATCCCGATTAAGGACTGTTGCATAACGGGAAACATCCCGAGTTGTCAGTGGCAGAATACATGTTCCTGAGTTCATCATGTCACGATCATCCACCGTGACTTTTTGTCGTTAGCTGTACTAGATGAGCTTGAGCTCTCGAAGGCTTGCATGGTATGGCGCAAAAGTAGTGAGTAATGGAAATTCATAGCTTCAAGTTTTCGTTTCCACGTTAGTCCGCTCGTTTGTGGTTTTCATCAACATGAACTGAAGGAGCATTGGCGAGTAAAGATTCACCATTCTGCGCAGCACCCCCTGTTCGTTCATACAAACGATCAAGGGGTTCTAAACCCTAAACCCTAAACCCTAAACCCTAAACCCTAAACCCTAAACCCTAAACCCTAGATGTGAATGGCATGGCTTAGCAGTATGACATGCATTGGACTTCGATCTCTCAATGTTTCGGCTGCGACCCTGCGACTCAACTTATGATTTTGGCTCAAAGATCCCTAAGCCCTAAACTCTAAACCCTAAACCCTAAACCCCAAACCCTGAACCCTGAACCCCGAACCCTGAACCCTGAACCCTAACCCTAAACCCTAAACACTAAACCGCTGTCCCAACATGAAGCATGACATTGCGACTCCTTTCAGCGTCGATGCCCGGACAGCAGCAACCGGCAGCCGGACAACAGTGGAGTTTGCGGATGACGAGTACCCAGGTCCGGTGGATGTGGATGCAGATGAGTGCTCGCCGACTTCGCAAGGAACGTCAGCAAGTGGTAGAAAGATGGACAGGACGTCCACGCTCCGTTTCAGTGGGGTCTCTCACCAGCATGGCCTTCACAAAATACGAGTGCAGCGGACTTCGAACCTCGAGGGTATATTCGCACCAAGCACGGAGGAAGGGACAAACTGTTGTACGCCATGCGTGTCACTGGTGAGGCAATACATGAGGATTACCTACATGATCAGTGAGCGAATGCCAGAGATCCATGTAAACTCGGAAGGCTACAATACATACTCCCTGGCTTTTGTGCTGGCTTCCCTTCTTCTTGTTTTGGTGCTGACTGTCATGGGACCCGTCCTGATGCCCCTGGCAGTTCTGTACACCGCTACATGCGGCACTGGTCCATCGGGCTACATAAATGTGGACGCCAGGCTGGCTGAGACAGAAGCTGCCGCCGAGCGTCACCCTCCCTTGCTCAGATGGGCTCTGACGTTAATTCTGGCCGCGCTGTCTCTGTTGCCCTTGTACTTGCTGTCGACCATGACCATGGTTGTGTTTGATGAGGAGGTTCTGAGTGGGTTTAGGGTTTAGGGTTTAGGGTTTAGGGTTTAGGGTTTAGGGTTTAGGGTTTAGGGTTTAGGGTTTAGGGTGACCAGGTTCTGATGGAGTTCATGAGACCTGAGAACCCGATGTTGGAGCTTTGGGGCCCATACGTCTGCTTGCTGATCCTGTCACTGGGTCGTTTTTTTGAAAACCATGTTTGACATGTTTTGAAGACTTGAAGCCAATAAGGGTTCAGGGTTTAGGTTTTAGGGTTTAGGGTCTAGGGTTTAGGGTTTAGGGTTTAGGGTTTGGGGTTTAGGGTTGAAATAGTGCCCATAAACAATGGAGTCAGGTCAGTGACCTTTCATGCAGATGTCTGCCAGTGTTGTATCGAGAACGGTGCTGGCCAAATGCTTCTGGATGAGATGCATGAAACTTAGTAGTAGAGTGGATAACCTTTTAAGCCTCTTTGGGGGATTCTATTTAGTAGAGTAGATGACCTTTTAAGCCTTTTTTGGGGATTCTATTTCCTACATAATCGAAACTTAGTAGTAGAGTAGATGACCTTTTAACCTTTTCGGGATATTCCATTTCCTATATAATGCCCAAGGTGATCCTTTAGTGTTCTAGGCTACTGGACCCCTAAACCCTAAACCCTAAACCGTAAACCCTAAACCCTAAACCCTAAACCCTAGACAACGAAGGAGATGAGGGAGCAGGATGCCTTCATGGTGAAGATTGCGAAGGGGAACGTTGCTTAAAAGTCGGTTTGTGGACAGGGGGGGGGTGGGGGGATGAGGTACCCTACGTAATCCCTGGTTTAGGGTTTAGGGTTTAGGGTTTAGGGTTTAGGGTTTGGGGTTTAGGGTTTAGGGTTTGGGGTTTAGGGTTGAGGGTATAGGAATGAGGTCCCCTAGGGGTATATGTAGGGCCCTCATTCCCTCATTCCCTGCTAACCAACAGTGAGGTTGATGAGAAGGAGGTGGAGAATGTGATTGTCGAGATGCAGGACCTCGTGCGCTACCTGGATGTGCACATCCAAGAGAAGAAGCACGGACTCTTCACGACCCAACGTCGCCTTACCAGCAACTTCATGTATGCAATCTTTCAGGTCATTCTGGACGAAACGCAGGACGCGGAAATAGACGAAGACGAGGACAGGTTTCAACGACTTGTCGCAAGAATTTGTTCCGGGAATTTGCATGCTGAGAGGTGTGCTTCGAGTAGTAATTAGCATGAATTGGCATCCGGTATACTACGAATTGCTTAAGAATCCCCCAAAAAGCAAGAACTATTCTTCCTTAGAAGGTGACAAAGGGATTGTTGCTTTGTATTTTCGGGGGGTTCTTAAGCAAATAGTAGTATAATGACATTCGCAGGACCTTTCTCAGCGTCTGCGGAATCAGCTCGAGCAGTTTTCGGCATTGTCCACACACGTCGTGCCGTCGGCTGTTGCAGCCCTCGCAACTTACTGTTGGTTAATGAGGGAATGAGGGCCCTGTTAAATTCCTTAAAGGGTATATATACATATATATATATATATATAGGGGGAGGTACCCCCACATAATCCCTTACAAAGTGGGAATGAGGTAAGCTAGATAGTCCCTTAAAGGGTATATGTAGGGGCATGTAGGGCACCCAATCCCTTTAGGGGTATATCTAGGGCACCTCGTCCCCTCATTCCCGGCAAAGCAACAGCAAGGTAATGGGAAGCCTGGTGCCAGCGCTGCTTCCGGCGCTCGTCCGATTCTAGGATGCCCAGTAGTATTTTTGTGCAAGAGTGGAGGGCTCCTGGTAGTTTGTAAGATTTCAGGGTTGTGGGTTTAGGGTTTAGGGTTAGGGCTCCTGGTTTTGTCAGATTGCAGGGTCTGGGATGCCCCGTAGTACCCTTATTCCCCTCTTGGGGGGTGGGGGCGGGGGTTAGGGTTCTAGGACGCCACGTAGTGCCCTTATTCCCTTTTTGGGGGGTTTAGGTTCGAGGATGCCCAATAGTTCCCCTATTCACTTTGTTTTTTTGTGGCGGGGGGGGGGGGGGGGTTCGCTGATAAACCTTTGTAGTACCCTTATTCCCCTTCTGGGGGGGTTTAGGTTCCCTTATAAATCCCTTTGAGCAAAAAAGAACCCCCTTTTATTATTCCTAGGTTACTGGGCAACCTAGGATTGGTCAACGGGTACCAGGGCTTGTGGAGCCATGACGGTGTTTGGGCGTGCCAGCGCGCGTATCTTTTCATGGCGTTCATTACGTCCATGCGCCTGATCGGAAGCTGTTACTTTGTCATAGTTGGGTACCATTTCAGTTTTTTATTGGTACTTAAATACTCTACTCTACTCTACTCTACTCTACTCTACTCTACTCTACTCTTCAAATTTCTAATTTCTAATATTTTCCCAACCATGGAACTAGGTTATGGGCTTCTCGACAGCCTTGCGCGGTTGCAGCTCGCCACGCTGGCAACGCTGTATCTTGCTGCGCCACGTCGGCGCCGGGCAGTGCTGGCTGCCATGTACCTTAGGGCCTTATAGGGTTTAGGGTTTAGGGTTTAGGGTTTAGGGTTTAGGGTTTAGGGTTTAGGGTTTAGGGTTTAGGGTTTAGGGTCGCAAGTCGCAAGGGAACCCGAAAGTTGGGGACCATATGCCCTCTACTACGCTATTCCCTATTAAAGTATGTGTACCATAAGCCCCAGGAACGGCCTATACTAACTATAATCCTTATTGGGGTACACGAACCATAAGCCCTTTTTAGGGTTCATTTCCCCTAAGGGTCCATGTACCTAAATAAGGAATACTTGAGCCTTAAAGTACTTCCTATATGGGGACTTTGGGGCCCAAGTATGTAATAATGAGGCACATGGACCCTTAGGGTTCGTTCTCAAGGTACAGGCCACAGTTCAACAAGCTGCTGTTTCTGCCCGGCGGAGATCCAGATGACCATGTGCCTCTCGCGCCTGCGCGAGAATCCGCCCGCGAAATGGAGCGTCGGTACGGGGGCTTCGCGCGCTTCAGGTGTGTCTTCGTGGGCAATAAGTTGCGTGGCAAGGGCCTGGAGTCTTGGTAGCCTTGGGGTACCCTTTACCCTTTTTTTGGGTTTCTGAGTTCCCTTATGAAATAACCAACCCAGAAAAGGGTGCCCTTATTATAATATGGTTACTGGGCTGCCAAGGAGTTTCGCAACAAAGAGTCCATGAAGAAGGAAGAGTGCCTGGAGGCTCAGCCACCGCAGGAGGACGACGCAAATGCAAACGTCACCTATTTGGCAGCGCGGAAGTTTGCATTCCTCCAACTCCTGACAAGAACAGACTGCTTGGTGCTCGAGGGGAAGTCGGAAGCAGTCATGTTAGTCTTACTGATGATCTTGTCCTTGATTTCTGTCCTCCTGGTGTATTCGGTTGGTCTCACAGACGGCCAACATTATGTCACCCTCGCTTTTGGATCCTTGATATTGCTAGCGGTTCTGGCTATGATGCTTTCCGTCGTGAACAATCTGGTTTCTCTGGAGCGACTGCTCCTGGCCGACACCCTGAAGATTCTGCAAAGTTGGCGAGAGCGCCTCGAGCGCCTGAGATATGGAGTCACAGGCACACTCTTCGAAGAGGACTTGGTAGCCCAGGGGTACCCTTTTCCTTTTTTTTTGGCTCAAGGTTCCCTTATTAACAGTAGCCAACCCAAAAAAGGGTGCTGTTATTATAGTCTGGTTTCTGGGCTACCAAGAGGACAACCGGAAGGACATCACATTCTTGGACAACTACCTGTGCAGCAACTGGGCTGCAGTGTGCCCGGCTTCGTGATGTCGAGCTGCAGTCCACTTTCTCATCTCAGCCGGCCTAAACCCTAAACCCTAAACCCTAAACCCTAAACCCTAAACCCTAAACCCTAAGCACTGTAGTGAACCTTTGTTCTTTCGAAGCGGCTTAGGCTTGATCGATCCGGTAGCTGGGCTGATCGACTACACCAAAAACTGGCAAAAGCCTGTACCTGGGTAGGTTCTTGGGAGATTGCATATTTTTTCTGATGGAGTTTAGGGTTTAGGATTTAGGCTTAGGGTTTAGGTTTTGGGGATTGGGTTTAAGAGGATGATATGCAGGAATATGTTTCAGAGGTTTAGGGGCCAACCTAGGTAAGTATCTTCGGCATAACGGCGTCAAGTACTCGTCGCAACCGGGTGGTGCTGTCGCTCCTGGCATACTTTGCCGTTCTCCTTTGGCAGCTCTTGAAGCATCAAAGTTGCTTGGTAGCCCAGTGGTACTCTTTACCCTTTTTTCTGGTTCTGGGTTCTCTTACAACCCTAAACCCTAAACCCTAAACCCTAAAACCATGGTTACTGTGCTACCAAGGTTGGTACATTGCTTTACAGCAAGAACTGGCAGAGATGGCCGAATCACATGGTGTTCACTTTAGTTGAGTTCAGAGTCACGGGCTGGGCGCCTTATTGTGAAACCACGCAACAATATCTCAGCAGCCTGGTGGCCAGACCTGTCAGGGTTTCACTCCCGACGTCCGGAATCAAAACACAGCTCTTGGGTTTAGGGTTTAGGGTTTAGGGTTTAGGGTTTAGGGTTTAGGGTTTAGGGTTTAGGGTTTAGGGTTTAGGGTTCAGGGTTTAGGGTTTAGGGGTTTAGGGGTTTAAGGCGTCGTGTGAGTTCTTGGGGCCCCAGGGTTGCAGGTTCACAGAGATCTTCCTGCCTTCTAGAAGAACGCGTCGCCGACTTCTTGGGAAGCCGCGTGGACCAAAGGGTCTCAACCTCTGCCCAAACCCTAAACCTTAAGCCCGAAGATTGAATCCCTAAACCCTAACCTCTACAGGCCCTAAACCCTGACCCCTAAACCCTAACCCCGAAACCCTAAACCCTAAACCCCTAACCCCTAAACCCTAAACCCTAAACCCTAAACCCTAAACCCTAAACCCTAAACATCGTGAGCCCTAAGCCCTGAGCCTTCGGAGCCGCCCCAAAGAGGGCGGGATGGCTGCTGACGACGAGGCAAGCGATGTGGTTCGGGGGTTCAAGAGGTTTAGGGTTCAAGGGGTTTAAGGGGGTTTAAGGGCTAAAGGGGTTTAGGGTTCAGGATAGCCCTAAACCCTAAAGCCTAAACCCTGAAGGTTTTGAGGGTTTCGGGTTCAGGGTGAAGGGTTTAGTCTGGTATCAAACAGGAGCCGGTATCCCATTTTAGGGATGTGATGTAAGGCTTGGGGTTCAGGGTCCAAACTGGAGACCCCCAAATTCTATTGGGATCCTAAATCCTAACCCCTAAACCCGAAACCCTAAACCCCAAGACCACTTGTAGCTTTCCTCGGAAACCTACGCCAATTAGTTTTGTGGGCTCTTAAGGCAGGGTGTGCAGGGACATATATTTGGTCTGCAGGGATTCTAGGGGTATTTAGGGTTTAGGGTTTAGGGTTAGTGGAGGTTTCGTATATTTTAGGAGGTTTAGGACTTCAGGAGTCCCGTGGGCCTAAGCCCGAAGGCCCTAGAAAGTTCCCGGGTTTAGGGTTTAGGGTTTAGGGTTTAGGGTTTAGGGTTTAGGGTTTAGGGTTTAGGAATATCCTCAAGCCCAAAGCCCAAGCCCAGAGCGCAAATCCCAAAGCCCAAAACCCTGTAACTGCAACCCCTTAGGCTCTGGAGGTTGGAAAACCCGGAGGCAATCGAAGTCCCCAGAATCAACCCGATTTTGAAGTGCCTAGTTCAGGGGTGATAAATTTAAAAGTACTGTGAGTTTGGGGTTTAGGGTTTAGGGTTTAGCGTTTAGGGTTTAGGGTTGAGGTTTACAGGGCCTAGTTCAGGGATGATAAGCGTACTGTGAGTTTAGGGTTTAGGGTTTAGGGTTTAGGATGTCAAAAAAAGGCTTTACTTAGGGTTTAGGGAGTAGAGCAGTCCATCCGGGTTAGGCCCCAAGCGTCCAATTAAGAGGCAAAACGCCCCTCCGCTGCAGGATGGGTCTGCCAGCTACACGGGTAGCTCCTGCAGCAGCAGGACCCCTTGTGATTCAACTGAGCGGTACGTTCTTACATGTCCGGGGACCCCAACAAAAATAGTCCCCCCAAATAGTGGGATTCCCTTATAATCAGGACCCCGATAAGGTACCGCAAATTTCGGAAACCACCATTTTTACTCCTCCCCCCCTAAACACCCCAAACAATACCCTAAACCCAAAACCCCAAGCCCAAAACCCTATAATGAGGTTCCAACAAGGTACCCCATACATTCAGCTTTCTCATGTCAAGGGCTGTTCAGGTCAAAGGTCTGGTAGAGGGCTTCCTGCCTTTATCAGAGGTTTTTCATTCGGGGTCCCCTGTTCTCGTAAGCCATGGGGTTTGGGTTTTAGGGTTTAGGGTTAGGGTTTAGGGTTTAGGGTTTAGGGTTTAGGGTTTAGGGTTTCATATTCCTTCAGAGGATCTTAGGAAAAGGGCTCCCAAAGCCAAGGGTGCAACCTTGGGGGTCCCCCCTGAATTCCTAAACCTGGCGGAGGGCTCCAACATCTCCCAAGGGTGCAACCTTGTTTAGGGTTTAGGGTGTAGGGTTCAGGGTTTAGGTTTTAGGGTTTAGGGCTCTAAACCCTAAACCTCTTTTAGGCCCTGCTTGCATATCTCACTTCGACTTCTTTTAGTCATCCTTAAGTCCAAGGATCCTTGAGACTCTACATGCGCCGCCCGACAGAAGAGACAGCCGGGAGGCGTCCTGGGCCAGGCGCTCGCACGCTTTGGCGCATACGACGGATGCACCTCTTTCTGGTGTCGAACAAGCGCATACAGCGGATGCACCTCTTCTGGTGTCGAACAATCCTTTGGGAAGCAGACGCAGCTCTTTGGCAAGCAATGGATGCGAATGAAGGAAGGCAGAGAAAATGATGAGAATGCTCTGTACTTGCATGCAGCGTTGCTGGACGATGCGAAGCTGTGCCATCGTGTGACTCGGGAACTATGCCTTAAGCCCACTTGAAACCTAGACCCCGCCTGTTACATAAACTTATGTCAAGATTCCTGAACTCTTACTTTTCGTATTTGGGTTTAGGGTTTAGGGTTTGGACCCCTAGCCCTAAACCCTAAACCCTAAACCCTAAACCCATAAGGTTTAGGGTTGAGGGTTTAGGGTTCAGGGATGCCTGAACACCCTTTTTTTTCCTAGGCTTACTCCCGGGCCTAGCCTAATATAGCTTAGGGTGTAGAAAATCTCAAGGCCCTACAGGGTTTAGGGTTTAGGGTTTAAGGTTTAGGGCTTAGGGTTTAAGGGACCCTCAAGGCCCTGAACCCTACGCAAACCCTAAACCCTGAACCCTATAGCATATTGGGATTCTGCCCCTTATACTAAAAGCTCCTGAATCGGGATTATAATACCCCTATGATCACAGGGGTTACTGTACCCCCCCCCCCCCAATTATATAATCCCCATTAAGGATTATTGGTATAGGGGGGGAACATCCCAACTAGCAGAGTTCAGGGTGTACAAGAAAGGCCACTTGCAACAAGGCTAAAGGGGCAGACGCTTCGTAACATCCCTTCCAAAAAGCCTTAGGGTTCAGGGTTTAGGGTTTAGGGCTTACCTAAACCCCTCCCAAAATCCCCAAACTCCCTTCCCCCCTCCCCCCCAAACCCCCAACCCCCCAAACCCACAAACCCCCAAACCCCCAAACCCGCATCCCCCCCTGAGCCTTAAAACCCTAAGCCCTAAACCCTAAGCCCTAAGCCCTAAACCCTAAACCCTAAACCCCCCACTTGAGCTTTCAGAAGCCGCTCCCGGTCCCGGCCTGGCAGCAAGCTCGGCGTGGGCTCCCTCGTGGAGGTGCGGCTCTCTTCTACGACCCTAGGTTGGATAGGGGGGGGGGCCTTAAAAGGGAACCCTGGGGTTTAGGGTTTAGGGTTTAGGGTTTAGGGTTAGGGTTTAGGGCTCTCTTTAGGGTTTAGGGTTTAGGGTTTAGGGCTCTCTTGGGAGTGGGGGTAACATTTTGGGTCTTCTAAGGGTACTTAAACTCAATAAGGGATAGAAGTTCAATTTTTTAAATACTATCCCAACCATGAACTAGTCTTGAGGGTCGTGGTCAGAAGTTTAGAGGTTTAGAGTCTGGAGGCGGTTAAGGGGGTTTAGGGCTTAGGGTTGGATCTCTTTGGGGCTTCAAAGGGTTTGAGGCGTTTAGGTGTTTTTTTGTTTGGGGGGGAGGGGTTGGCGATCGGGCATGTAGGAGGGTTGTCAGGTTTTCGGGGTTAGGGTCTTGATGGGTCTTGGGATGTTTCGGGGTCTTGGAGTTGTTGCGGTACTACGGGACTAGGGTATTCACGGTTGTATACACCCTAAACCCTAAACCCTAAACCCTAAACCCTAAACCCTAAACCCTAAAACCTAAACCCTAAACCCTAAACCCTAAACCCTAACCCCTAAACCCTAAACCCTATAGGGCCTGAGGGGGCCCAGACTGGGCCGAGGCTTCAGGGTCTTTAGGGTTACCTTGGACCCCTAAGATTGTACCCTTGGGCTTGGGGACCCTTTGTTAAATTAATTAAAGAGGGTTTAGGGTTTAGGGTTTAGGGTTTAGGGTTTAGGGTTTAGGGTTTAGGGTTTAGGGTTTAAGGCTTGTAGTTAAAGATTCCTGAGAGAATAAGGGCCATCTTAGGAGTCTGTTGAGGGGAACCTTAAGGGGTACAACCTTAGGGGTACGAGTCTTCATCCGTTGAACGTGTTCAGGGCTCGTCGCGGTTTGAGGGCTTCGGGTTGTGTTACGGTAGGGTTCAGGGTTCAGGGTTCAGGGTTCAGGGTTCAGGGTTCAGGGTTTAGGGTTTAGGGTTTAGGGTTTAGGGTTTAGGGCTTAGGGTTTGTGATTTTCGTTCGACTTCTTAGGGAGGCGTAGCCGCCCCACTGTTCATACCTTGAGCCCTGAAATTCTGAGGCTTCGTGTCTGAGATACCCAGAAATCGTGCAGACTCCAAAAAGCCGATCCCCAAAAAGGGTTCCTAAGAATGACCCACTAGTAGTAGAGGGTACTATTTGAGGGTCCTCCTTTCTTAGATCCTCCCAGGGGTCTGAGAGAGCGAAAACTCAAGGCCTAGACACCAGCGCCAGGGCACAGTTAAACAATCCTCAACTTGATCTTGCGCGATGTTTGCTGTTTCGGGCTTAGGGTTTAGGGGGTTGGTGCGTGGCGATGGACTCCTGAAGTCGGGAACAGGCTTGCTTTGCAACTTGCTGGCGAACACCGCTTCCTCTGTGGAAAAGCGAAGTTGACGGAGACAAGTGTGAGGAAAAAAATGCCCAAAACCCCCCTAAACCCAAAACCCTAAACCCTAAATTATAAACCCTAAACCCCTGAACCCGAAAGATGCGCAAGCAAATGCAGAGTCGAGCCCCTCGACGAAAACGTCGCTTCCGGAATGGGGGGAGCCCATGGGTTTAGGGTTTAGGGTTTAGGGTTTAGGGT